TTGATCTCAGGGTCATGAGTTCAAACCCCTTATTGGGCTCCACACTGGGCATGGAGCCTACTTTAAAAAAATTAAAAATAAATGTTATAGAGAAAAATAAATGAGAAACAGGGATAGGGAATGCAGGGGGTGGGAGGAGAGTGATACTCCAATTTATGTAATATAATTCCCAGGAAAGGACTCACTGAAAAGATGACACATGGCAAAGAGCTGAAGAGAGCTGAGGGAGTGAACTTGTGGAAGTCTAGGGAGAGATTGTCCCAGATGGTGAGAGCAGCAAGTGCAAAGGCCCTGAGGCAGGAGTGCACCTATTAGGTCTGAGGGTCAGTGAAGTGACCTGTGTGGCTGGAGCTGGTTCTCCAAAGGGGTATCAGTGGGGAGCAAGGACTGGCAGGATGAGGGGTGCTCACCAGATCCCATGGGGGCCTTTTAGGAACTTCATCTTCTTCCCAGAGTAAGTGGAGTAGCCAAAGGATTGAGGACATCTGATTGACCTTTCAACCTGTCTTCTTTGGTTGCAGAGTGGTAAATACTTCTTGCCTAGTGGATCCTGCCCATTTTTTTTATGTTAAATCTCAGTCCTTTCATTTGGTAGAACATGTGGCATGTTACTGGATTGAAAAACAGCAACAACAACAAAATAGACCTAAATTCAAAATTCTTTATTCTTTTCCGTAGGGAAATGTTTTAATGCTTATGGTCATAATTGCTGCATTTCCAACATGGAGTTTCTGATTCTGAGGGGTTTTTTCCTTTTCCATTTCATTCTTTTCTTCTTCTTGTGAAAAGACAACTATTAATATCATTGTTACCTTAAATTTAGGTTTCTTTAGGCTTTGTTACTACTAATAATGTCATTTTGGTCTTATTACAAATCCTACCCCTCCACTGAAAAAAAACCTAAGGCTTTGGAATCAGATTTCCTGGGTTAGAGTCTCTGCTCCTCCATTTCCTAGCTGTGTACCCCTGGGCAAGTTGCTTTGCCTCTCTGTCTCCTTTCCTTCATTTGGAGATAACAGCGGTATTCATGTCATAGGGTTGTTATGATACTAAAGTAGTTACTGTAAGTAAAGCTCCCAGTGTCAGGTGAATAGTAATTACTCAGTAAGTATTAGCAATTATTGTTAACTGAATAATTATTAGAAAAATATAAATAAGAAAGCAAAATACTATCCAGAATCCCATTGTCCAGGGATAACCTCTGTTGACATTAAGAGGGTTTTTTTGTGTGTGTGTATGTATTGCTTATGTGTGCTTGTATGTGTCTGTGCTCCTGTGTGTGTATCTGAAACAAAAAATGAAAACTTACTGTACATACTGTTTCACAGCCCTCATTTTTCATTTAAAAATGCATTATAAACACTTTTCCTCATAATTCAGTAACCTTGGGCAACATCATTTTCATGTGGCCTGTTCTATAGATCTGCCTCAACTTACAGAATCATATTCTTTTTTTTTTTTTTTTTCTTTTTGAGGGACAGAGAGAGTATGAGAGGAAAGAGGTCAGTGGGAGAAGCAGAGTCCCTGCAGAGCAGGGAGCCTGATGTGGGACTCGATCCCAGGACTCCAGGATCATGACCTGGGCCAAAAGCAGTGGCTTAACCAACTGAGCCACACAGTAGCTCCCAGAATCATATTTTTACTATAAGATGTGTAGTGCTTACCTAGAAAAATAATTCTACAGTAGACATACTTGCAGCCAAACCTTTGTGCAAAGCTTTAATTTTTTCCTAAGAAATTCCTAATCCTGGAATTGATGGCTTTGAGAACATGTGTATTATTAAAGTGTTTGCCAAGCCTTTCTGCAATTTTTTTCAGTTTACATTCTCACTCTCAGTGCTGCGTGGTACTTTTCATTTTACCCACATTTGTCAACATCTGGTATTGTAAATTTCAAAGATATAATGCAAAGATGATACATATTTTTTACTAATTATACATATTTACAGAATTCCATTATCATATATATTTTGTTACTAATTTCATTGAATATTTTAATTTATACATTGCCAGTTGTTTGTATTTATAAATGACTATGTCCTGATTGTTGCCTGTCATTTTCTTATTGAATACTAAGAACTTTTTACATAAGATGGATCATAATATGTCTTTCCTGATACATATATTGCTATATTCCCTCCTTTCATGTTGTATATTATTTTTGGTAATATACATTTTTCTTAATGGTATACATAAAGCATTCAGTTCAACTCTGATCAATATAATAAATATCACGTTCAACTGACAATAGAATTTCTTAGGGTTCCCTAATTGTTATCTGAATTAGCCATCTTAGTGTTCATGGTCTCAAGTGGATTTTTAAATCTAGTAATTACATTTTCCTTCTGAGAGTAGCCTTTTCTAATCTCAGATTTTTCCCTTTTCAAAGATGCATTAGCTTCTTGAATCTCATTAAAAGTATGAACTAGATATTTTTTAGAATTTTCTCTCTTTTGGCAGTAGTTCTATTTCATGGGAGATACTTAATCTGATTTCTCATTGTTTCTTTATTTGACTGAGTTTTTCATACATCCTGTTATTTTTCTGTATCTGCCCATCCTTAAAGGTGGATGAGCTCAAGAATGATGAGTGTCCCAGTTGTAATTTTTCAAAATCAGATGAAGGGAGAAAGGAGTCTTTGTAGTTTTTGGAATTTTTCTTTGTCAGAACAGGGATCCTGTTCCCTATAGCCGTTTTGGAGAGATCCACAGCTGGAAACAGCTACACATCAAACAGTCAGCCCTACTGCCCTATATGGAGGCATTTCCCCCATGTTGGTTTTGTCCAACTCAAAGTTGGTAGGGGTCCCTGCTTCTCTTTTCTAACAGACATGAGTCCTTATTCAGGGCCATAGAGACAGTATACTGGCTCCAGCAGACATAGTGAGGGCACCACGACATGTCCCATCCTTCCTGAATATGAATCAGAGTGGGTGGCTGTCATCTAGTCCCTGGTGGTCTGCCCCAGGGTTGTTAGTGGGGTTCTGCTGGGGGTCCCGTTGACTAGTCACCGCTGGTTGGTCCCCCTTGATCAGTAGTTTCCAAAGTGGCTTAGACTATACATGGTTTAGATAGCACATGGTTAGGGCATTAGTAATACTGAATTGTACCCTGGCCAAGCTTTTCTTTGGCCAATGCTCCTTCCAACCTTCAGATTATCATAAAGAGAAAGTCTCAGTTGGTATTGCCGTACCCTTAATGTTCTTTCACTTGCGCCGCTGGCGGAGCTCCCATTTTAACAAGGAGGGGCAGGCATAAGTCTCAGAGCCTTTGGTAAACAATGCCATCTACTTGGACTTGGGTAACTTGATTTGCATAAGTTTTTTTTTTTTTTTTACAGTTACTTTCTACTTGTAACCTGTTGGCTTCCTTTTCAAAGGGAATATGCTATTTAAAAAGGAGACGATATAATGAAAACCATGAAGTGGATCATAATATCCAGATTTAGCAAAATCCACAAAGGCGAATAATGTTTGCCAACCACTGCTCCATGTTCTCTTACTTATTACTTTAATTTGTACGAGTTCCTAGACACTACTGTGTGGATAGCACCCTTCTTGATTGCCAACAAAAATACAGATGTTCTCTTATTTTTGTATTTCTTTTGGAAAATGGGCAGAGGACAATTGAGTTTTTTTTTTTTAAGATTTATTGACTTATTTATTTATTTGATAGGTAGGGAGGAGCAGAGGGAGAAGCAGACTCCCCGCCAAGCAGGGAGCCCAATGTAGGGCTCCATCCCAGGACCCTGGGATCATGACCTGAGCCGAAGGCAGACGCTTAACCAACTGAACCACCCAGGTGCCCCAAGGACAACCGAATATTAAATGTGGATGCATAGAAACGCCAATTATCACCTCTGCTTTGAATCTCTTCTCCTCCTATTTTTAGGAGCTGTTGAGGAAGTTTTGTGAATGGAGGAAAAAATCATTATGAAATTTGTGGATTTGAGTTAGGAAGTCTTTCTTGGGGAGTGAGGAGCTCCAGGATATTTTTCCCCTCTAGTGATTTGGATGTCTTTGGAATGTCCTTTCCTTTCCCCTCTCTCATGTTTCCCTTTGAGTAGATGGAAACATCTTTGTGGTCAAAAACACACTGAAAGCCATCTTGTTTATTAGGATAATGTCAATATCTGTAATGATGATGATGATTTATCATTTGCTAAATGCCAGACACTGTGCTTATCATTTTGCATGAGTCACCATATCTTAGCTCCACAGTAATTCTATGAAAAAGACTTTTTTTTTTTTAAATAATCTCTGTGTCTAACGTGGGGCTCAAACTCATGACCCTGAGATTAAGAATTGCATGCTCTATTGACTGAGCCAGCCAGACGCCCTTGAAAAAAAAAAAAACTCCTGTTCCGATTTATAGATGAGAAAAATTGAGCCTCAGAGAGCCTAGCTAGCTTGTCCAGGGACCCATGGAGGCAAGGGCAGAGGGGAGATTTGAACCCAAGCAGAGTTTGACTCTGGGGCTTATGTACATACCTGTGAAAGGATGCTATTTCTCAAGGGGGTCATACCGGGCACTTGGGGAAGGCATCTGCAGAGAAAGCCGCATCATGGAGACAAGGAGGTAGTCATCCAAATGCTGCTGAGAGCCAGGATGCTGGGAGAATGTGCTAAGAATCCACTGACCATGGGAGATCGTCATAGCATTCTTTCAGAATAAGAAGGCACGTAGCAGACAGAAGGTAGGTAAAAACATAAAGCACTGAGCGACTGAATGAGAGAACTAAGAAAAGTGTATGTGTGTAAGATGAGAAACAGAGCCAGAGCCAGAACATTGCATAGACACAGAATATTCATTTTTTTCTGAAAACCGTGGAATAGTTACAAAAACACATAGCATACCTGGCTATAAACACGTACATGCACACCTCCCCTAACACATTTTTTTAAGGTAAATCTGTCTATAGTCTTCCTTTTCTTATTGTAACCGACGAAATAATATCAAGTCAGGTCATGGACTTTGTCTTGTCTCCCTGTCTCCCTTCAGGTTCAAGTTGCTGAGCCAGGAGGAAGGCGAGTACTTCAATGTGCCTGTGCCGCCAGAAGGAAGCGAGGGCAATGAAGAGCTGAGGCAGAAATTCGAGGTGAGCTGTGTTTCTTTCTACGCCAGTGCAAACTGCTAGAATGTCTCATATGCCTCGTATGCTGTGTCTCCGGTTATGGAAGGCCTTCTACCAAGGCCTTTCATGACTCTGTGCCTTTGCAGTGTTTTTCTGGCTCCAAGAAAACTCCTATGCATCCTGCAAAACCCCAACCAAGCGTATCCTGCTTTGTGAAGTCATTCCTTCCTCCTTGTCCTCACTTAGATTTAGAGTTTTCCTCGAAAGTGCTCCTTCACTTCTCAGGTCATTTTTTTTTTTTTTAAGATTTTATTTATTTATTTTAGAGATAGAAAGGGGGAGCAGAGGGAGAGGGACAAGCAGACTCCACACTGAGCACAGAGCCTGATGTGGGGCCCAATACCACGATCTTGAGATCATGACCCAAACTACAATCAAGAGCCGGATGCTTAACCGACTGAGCCACACAGGCGTGCCCATTCTCAGGTCATTTTGATGATAGCTTGGCCTGGGATGGTAATAATGGTGAATGAAAGAAATAGATAGAAGTGGGCTCTATTTTGGAGGCTGAGTTAAACTTGCTGAGGGATAGAATCTAGAGTTGGATCTATCGGCGGGATGGTGCTGTACTGTTAACAAATGGAATTGTTTGTGCTAGTGACTTCATGAAATACCCATGGTCTATCTTCCAAAAATGAAGAGTCCTTGACCCTGAATCTTGGGCTACACTCTGGCTCTGCTTCTACCCCAGCTAAGTTCTTTCTGTTCGTGGGGGGTGGGGCAAGAGACCCTGTTTTCAGCTGTGTGAGAGTTGCAGACACATCCTAGTTTTACAAAGAAAATGTTTTGGGGAAAATGAGTTTGAGGTCTTTCATTATATGTGTATTGAGTGATTTTAAAGTAGTTTCATAAGGGAAAACACATTATTTTGTTTGTACAAACTCAATATACTGAGTCTGATGGGAAAACATCAATTCTAGATAAATAGTAATGGCCTGCTAACTCTGAAAAAAAATTGTATAAAACAGCTAAAATGAAATTATTGTCATTTTTATTCAGCAAATAATCATACAGACAAATAAAAAAACTTGTGACCAGGTAAAGTTCTATGAAAGAGAGGTCCATGTTAACTCTGAGAACATATGGGGCAGGGAGAGACAGGAGGACAAGGAAGGTGTCATTAAGGCAACAACAGTGCAAATTAACGGAGTAGAGAGAGGAAAAGAAAATTCCACTCAGCAAGGATGGCATGTACAAAGGCCCTGTGGTGGGGAGTTCTGTAGCAACTATGTGAAACTTAAAGAAGATCAGTGTGGGTAGAGGAGAGAGAGAGCAAAGGGTGAGTTCAGGGTAATACTGGGGAGGTGGCTGGTCATCATAGTAGAAGGGCTGTGCTGGCCTTGGCAAGGATTTTGGCATTTATCCCAAGATCCATGTTAGTCTGCCCCTCAACTTGACAGATACAGCACTTGAGTATTGACTCTTGTTGTGCCCTCCACACAAGTTAGTGGTGATGGGTCGACCCAGGGGGATATCCCTTCGTGGAAACAAGTGGGATGAACACACTGGCCTTGGGCTTACCAGTCATTTCTCCAGTGAACTTGGCAAGGGAAGGTTATTCCCGCAGAGCCAGCTCAAGTCCAGATGAGCTGGTAAAAGGACATCCCACTCAGTAGAGCCAAGAACTAGACACTGTTGATTAGTCCTTCCAGAGAACACCTTCCATCTCTTTCCCTCAACTTTTTGATGAAGCTGTGCCCATTTGCTGCTGCATTAAAAATGTATTGTCCTGGGTATAAAAAAACAAAACAAAACAAAAAAAACACCCCAAGTCCACTGTTTTCTTGTATAAAATGGTGTCTCAGTTTGCAAAATGATTTCTCCCATGCTAGGGCAGCCGGGGTGACATTTCAGGATATCAAGGAGAACAGTTCCCATGTGAACATAGTGTTTGTCCGGGCCAGTTATTGGCATGGAGTAAAGGACTGTTTTATCTGCAAGCAACAAAATGCAGCCGTTTATTCCTAGCGAGAGCCCACAAACGCTTGTTTATGCCTGAATTATAATTGCTCTGTACCGTAGTTGTTGATTAAAAAAAAAAAAATGTTTCCAACCAACCGAGAATTGTTCTCAGACACACAGGGAAATTTCAGTTGACCTTGAATGTGAGAAATGTAATCCCTGTGCAATAACCAATTAGCACTCGGAATGACTCAGAAATTACTTTCAAGCCTCTTATGTGGAGAAATTCTGAGTGACGGTAAAATCGAGCTGCTGGCATTGGGGTAATAGAATTTCACGGCAGGGGGAGCTTGGTGCAGTGGCTGCCCGTGGTGAATTTCAGAATGTCTGGGTTGGCTCCGTCTGGGGCAGACCAGGGGCTTGTTTTCTGACCACGGGCTTGTCTCTGGGTCAGCAAAGGGAAAACTCCACTTTGGATGGTTCACAGTGGGTTTTCTGACGGTCTTAGAATTTTCTTAAATCATACAGTACTTCCTCTGGGCCCTTTATTGTTTTAAGTGCTCCGGAAATATGAGAGTATTTAACTCTCGCAGAACCCCTGAATGGTAGATGCTATCATCCTCCCTGTTTTTGTTGTTGCTGTTGTTGTTTTTCTTTTTTTGGTTGTTTTTTTTTTTTTTTTTTTTTTTTTTTTTTGGTCTTATGGATGAGGAAGCAGAGTCCCAGCGAGGTTAAGCAACTCTCTGCCATCCTAGAGCTAGCCGCTCATTACCCTGCATTGAGTTACCCCACAACAGACCACAAGGATTCAAGTGCAAGTAGTTTCTTGGGGAGGTGATCACAGGAAGCTTCACTGCGGAGAGGGGAAGCGGGGGGCGCTTCATGGAGCACGTTGGCCCCGTGGGCAGCTGGGGTTTAAGCACACCGGAGAACTCTGGGAGTTGAATGTGTGCCTTAGGGGTGGTAATGGGGGGGTCCCAACCCGGGGTGGGGCAGGAAACTGCAGTATCGTCCACCAGCTCAGCTTCTGTTGCTGCCTGGTGGCCACTCTCTGGGGAGTTCCCTGCCCAGCCCTCTTGGACTCTGCTGCTCCAGCAGCCAGGCTGCGAGTGCCCAGGTGGTCACAGGCAGAGAAACAAGAGTGTCAGGGGGTCTTGGCGGGACACCTGGGCCTCATCGGGGCAGTGAAGCCCTGTCCTATACAGGTGGTTCAAGCGTCACGCTGCCTAGATTTGAGTTGGGCTCTGCCACTCCCTTGCTGAGTGACTGTAGGCAACTTCCTTTCTCTCTCTGAGCCTTCGGTTCCCCATCTGTAAAATGGGGGAAGCACAATGCTTCTCAGCTTCTAAGGTTATGTGAGGACCGAATGAGAGAATGCATTTAGGACAGCATCTGGTGCGTCATAGCATCCCGACGTCAGGCCACTGTTGTCATTACCAGCTTCACCCTTGGAATAAATGAAGCTCAGAACATATTCCTTCTGGGATTTGGAAGGGCCGGTTGGGGATTGGGAGGGATCTATAGGGGCTCCAAGCCTCCTGAGGCCTTGCCTCTGCTGCTGGGCCCTGGGGTGCCTGTAGAAGCCCCTCTTAATTGCAGAGGAGTCTGTAGCTGAAGCCAGGGCAGGCACTAATCGTCTGAAAAGTAGCCCGGGAGACTGGCTTCCCAGGCGTCTCTGCCACCATCCCATGCAGTCTGGAAGGACGCAGGTCTCCTGGCTCAGAACTCTAGTCTATTTGCTTTCTCTTTGAGCACTGAATTCTAGGACTCCACATTGTGACATAAAAAGGCAACCATCAGAGTATTCCTGTTGCCAAAGACATATCCATCCCAGCAAGATAGAGGATCATTTTAATTTGGGCCTCAATTTGAAGATGTTTGCTCTTTGACGGAACACCTCCTGGACCTGAGGCCCCAGGGAAACGGGGCTTCCAGAGGGACAAGGACAGGCTTCTTGTCTCCCAAAGGTTCAATGTTTTCAGGAGCCAGACAGATAGCAAGGAGGGGGAAAACTTGGTGTCAGACAGTAGGGTGTGGTGGGGACGGCGGTAAACTTGGGAAATCCAAGATCAAAGCCACAGCCTGATCGTGTTCTGGTGGGAGCCCCTTCCTGGTTCCTAGATGGCTGTCTTCTCACTGTGTCCTCACTTGGTGGAGGGGCTGAGGGACCTCTCTGGGGCCTCTTTTATGAGGCCACTGATCCCACCCATGGGGCCTCCACACTCATGACCTAATCCCCTCCCAAAGGTCCCATCTCCTAATGCCATCACCCTTGTGGCATAGGATTTTAACATGTGAATTTTGGAGGGGAGGATACAAACATTATAACCTACAGAGGGGGACACAAACACTCTGGCTCCGAAGGGGGCCCAGACATTATAGGTCTATAGCCTATACCTATGAGAAAAAAATAAGCAAATTGAGCTGGAGAGTGGAAAGAGGGTTTTTGGTCCTGAATTCAGAGGAGAGAAGGTTGCTCACCGGATGGGGTTGTTGGGGGCGGGTACGGGACGGTGAAGCTGGTGGCCACTTGCTGCTCCTTGAAGGATAAAAAGAAAAAATTTCCATGACGCAAGGTCAAATGGAGAACGGGGAAGTTGGAGCCCCTTACTCATGGCTCACCAGCAGGCTGTACTGGGGGACCTGGGGTGTCCCCCTGAGGGCTAGGATGGGGGCTGGGGACCAGGGGATTCAGATCCGCACAGGTTGAAGAACGCAGTGTGTGGGCCAGGTGGGTCCTGAGTCAGATTCAATGAAGGTGGGAGATGTGGTCCTGGAACAGGGAAGGCAGTAGGGCGGGGAGAAAGGAGGGAACGTGTTTAGCAGCCTGGGCAAGACTCGAGGGGCTGGGACATGAGGGTTTGGGATGATGGAAAGATATGGCCCAGAAAAGACAGTACAACTTCTGTCTTAGGCACTTGGCTTCTTTACGACCTACCTGATGAGCTCATGTTTGAACCACCAGCTCTATGTCTGTGACCCCCAGACCTCTGTCTGCAGCTCAGATACCATTTCTCAGTCTCAAACCCACAGAGGACATTGCTTTCTGGATATGGATCCTTGGTTCTCCCAGAGACACTTGAATCTCAGCAGATCTCAGGGCAAAACTGTTTGACTGGGTGTGTTCACAGCAGCTCTGTTAATAGCCCCACAGTGGAAAGGACACAAGTGCCCTTGAAGAGGAGGACGGGTAAATGTAAACAACTGAGCAAGACAGTGGGGCAGACTACCAGCTTGGCAGTTTCACGGGTGAATTTCACGAACATGATCATGGGTGAAAGCAGCCAGATACAAAAGACTACTTCTCCCATAGAGGGAAGCCTATCAGACTTCCACAGATCTTCACCAAATGTGTGGGTTTCCAGAAATTCTCCAGTCCTCTGTGGACACCAATTGGGTGTCCTACAATTTAATTCACAGACAACACCTGGAGTTAGAGAAGACCCCACAGGTTAAGGCCTCTGTCCAGACTCGGGTCACACATGGTGGGTTCCCAGGTCACCCACACTTCTGTCTGACTTGCTGCCAATCCGGGGTTCCCACTACACCTCCCTCCTCAGATTCTCTAATTGGCTAGAACAGCTCACAGAACTGAAGGACACACTTACTTATATAAACTGGTTTATTGTACATAAAGGATATGATAAGGGCTACAGATAACAGCCAGACAAGGAGACACGTAGGGTAAGGTCTGAAAAACTTCTGTCTTCCGCGGGGTCAGGATTCATCATTCCGGAAGCGCTTCGAATGCCACAGTTTAGGGATTTTTACGAAGACTTCGTCATGGAGACGCAATCGATTATTAACTCAGTCTCCAGCCCTGAAATAGGGCTGAAAGTAACAAGCTTCTCCTCATGGTTTGGTCTGTCAGGTGACCGTCCCCCATCCAGGAGCCCAATGAGAGTTTCCTCGTTAGAATAAAAGATGCTCGTATCAGGAAATTATAAGAGATTTAGGAGCTTTGTGTCAGGAACCAAGAGCAGAGACCAAATATATATTCCTTATTATGTCACACACTCTGATTCTGTTTAATGAAGTTCAAGGACAAACAAAACTGACCTACAGGAATAGAAATCAGAGCAGAGATTGTGTTCGTGGGAGGCAGGATTGGCTGGGAAGGGGCAGGGAGAACTTTCTGAAGGTGATGGAAATTGGGGTTTGGGTTCATGGATATATACATTTGTCCAAATTCATAGGACTATCTGCTTGATATTTTGTGCATTTCAGTGTATCTAATGTAATTTTTAGTTTTTTTTTTATTTTTAAAGATTTATTTATCTTTTGATAAAGATTGAGTGGGGGAGGGGCAGAGGCAGAGGGAGAGAGAAGCCCAGGGAGACTCTGCACTGAGCACAGAGCCCGACATGGGGCTTGATCTCATGATCCTGAGATCATGACCTGAGCTGAAGTCAAGAGTCAGGCACTTAACTGACTAAGCCTACCCAGGTGCCCCTCCATTGTAAGTTGTAAAACATTAATCACAAAAAGAAGAAAAATGGTGGATGCTTTGTCAGCAGCACAGATGGGATGACAACAATGGACAGGCACATCCTGAGGGAGAGAGAAGCTTTGTAGGGTAGGCCACTGGGGACGGGAGTCTCAGCATGCCCGAAGTCGGGCTCTTCCCGTCCTCTTGCCCACACCTCCACATCCGCCTGTCCTCTTGCCCACACCTCCACATCCGCCTTTCCTCTGCTCTTCTTCTGAGTGGAAAGTGCCACCATCCTGTCCTCCCATGTATCCAACACAGAAGCCAAGGACTTGCCCTTCATCCCTCATCCTCTCTCCCAGGCTGCACCCAGCTCTGATGAGTCTACCTCCAAATCCATCCACTTTGTTCCATCCACACTGCAGACACCCCCGAGGTCGGGTCCCGCCATCTTGCACCTTGACGACTGTGGTCATTTCCTTCTAGTGGTTCTCAAAGTCACCTTCAAATGGGTCTCTTCGCTGGACCCAGGGTGATCTTCTAAATGGAATATGATCATACCATGGCCTCCTTAAAGCCTTTTTTTTTTTTTTTTAAGATTTCTTTATTTGAGGAGGGAGTGACAGAGAGAATCTCAAGCTGACCCCTCTCTGAGCTCAGAGCCCAACACGGGGCTCCATGTCACGAGCCTGAGACCACGATCTGAGCTGAAACCGAAAGTCGGAGCTTCACCAACTTTGCCACCCAGGGACGAGCCTTTCATGCTCAGAATCAGCTCCGACTCCTTAAGAGGGTTTACCTGGTCTGGCTTGTCTTTGGGCTGCAACTCGAGCCACACCTGCCTTGCACTGTGTCTGCTTCTTCAAGTGTGTCTTTCTTTCTGCTCCATTAATTCTATTTCTGCTGCTGACATCAAGTTGTTTGCCTGGAAAGCTCTCCTGCTTATCCTTTGGACCCAGGATGCGGGACCCAGTCCCTGCTGTGGGGTGGATTCTCTGAACATCCACAGTCGTCTTTCTCCCTGAATGACCCTCGGCATCTAGAGTACCGCCTAGCATGCCACAGAAACTCCATGAGTTTCTTCTGAATACACAACGCTTTCCTGATATTCAAAAAATATCTGAAAATATTTGTTGCCTCTCGGTCTTTAAAAGTCAATTGAACAGGGGCGCTTGGGTGGCCCAGTCAGTTGAGTGTCAGGCTCTTGGTTCCAGTCTGGGTCATGACCTGAAATAGAGCCTGAAATAGAGCCCCGTGTCAGGCTCCATCCTCAACGTGGAGTCTGCTTCTCCCTCTTCCTCTGTTCCTCCCCCTACCTTTCTCTCTCTCTGGAATAAATAAATAAAATCCTTAAAAAAAAAAAAAAGACAACTGAATAATTGGACGGTTATACTAGCTGCCATTCGTTGAGTACCTACCACATGCTAGGAATGGTGCTAAGGACCCTGAGCTACATTCTGTCCTGTCCCGATCTCCATTTGCTTGAAAGGGTTTAGCAAGGTTCATGCACCGAAGACAAGTCAGTGCCTACTCTGCTGGGTGCTGCCCGAGACACCAGGGAAAGGGGAACAAGAGACAAAAATCCTTGACCTCTTGGAGGTTGTGTTCTAGTGTGAGGATGAAGATGAGAAATTAAGAAACGAGGAAAACTGGGTTTGTGGGATGGTGATAAGGGATATGGAGAAAAATAAGGGGAATAAAGATGGCTGAGAGCTTCTGCATGTGGTTTTGGCAAAGGCTGTGTCCCCCACCCCCAAGATTTTACTTATTTGAGAGAGAGCAGGGAGAGGAGCGGAGGGGGACAGACAAGCAGACTCTGTGCTGAGCGTGGAGCCCGACGTAGGGCTTGATCCCACGACGCTGGGATCATGACCTGAGCTGGAAGTAGTCTGATGCTTGACCAACTGAGCCACCCCGGGGCCACAGGAAAGGCTGTCTTATCTGAAGTGAGGACGCTCTGGGAAAGAAGTCAGAGGCACAGGGGGCAGCAAGTGCAGAGGCCCAGGGGCAAGGGCGTATTTGGTGCTTTCAGCGAACAGCAATGAGGCCAGGGGGATGCAAGGAGAAGAGGTCCAAAATCAGAGAACGTGCAGAGGAGCAGGGACATCTCTGGCCTTTGGCCTTATCTCTTGAGAGAGATGCTGAAGTTTGGGATGTCTGAGTAGAGAGTGTCCTGAGCTCATGGCTCCATCCGGATCACTTATCCATGCCCGAGTCAGGAGTCTAGCCCTAGCGGCGACTCCAGAAACAAAGTCCTGGCGTCTGCAAGACCTCACTCCTGACCTCCTCTCCTCTCCTCATCGCAGGGAATCTGCTGCCGTTCTGAGTCACTGTTCTGCTGCTCACAGTGGCGAGACCCTCCCCCACTGCCCTGAGGACCAACATGGGCCTCACCCATCCACTCATCCACAGAGCAGGAGACTGTGTCAGTTGTTAGGGAATTGTGGAGGTAGAGTCTGTGCCTTCACAGAGCTTCCAGTGTGTTGGCGGAAGCAAGTGAACAGTTACCATCCAGTGTAAATGGGAAGTGAAATGGATGAAGGAAGCAAAGAGGGACACTTAATCCAGACAGACAATCAAGAAAGGCTTCCCTAGGGAAGGGAACATGGGAAGCAGGGGGAGCTCAGTTGGCAAAGAGGAGACAGTAGCCACCCTCAAAGCAGCAAGAGCATGTGCAAAGGCCCTGAGTGGGATGTGAAAGGAGAATGGATCTGGATTACAGGGAAGGGTCCAAGAAGTGAGGAGATTGGAGAACCTGATCATACTGGGCCATATAGACCCGTGAAAGCACTGAGGCCTTTATCCCAAATCTAAGGAGTCACAACGGAAGCATTTTAAGCAGGTGGTGACCTGGTTGGGTATGAAGAAGCGAAAGCTCACTCTGGTTGCATGAAAAGCCCAGTGAGGCGGGAACAGAGGTGGGGTGTCCAGGTGTAGCAGGATGGCAGGTCGTGGCGAAAATGGAAAGCAGGTCAGTTCTAGAGAGAGAACTCTTTCCTGTGGTGGCTGAGGCAGGACAGACAAACGAGAAACAGGGGTGTCAAGGGTGGGCCCCAGCTTTCAGGCTTGCGGAGTGGATGTTGGCCATGATTCTCATTGAGATGCAGACTGGGGGACGGGGCGAGCTCCAGGAACCACAGCTCGCGGCAGCTACCTGTGACTTTCTCCAGGGGTGTCCTCAAACCCTAATGATGTTTTCTGTGTGCTTCCTCCCTCAGAGAGCCAAGATCAGTCAGGGGACCAAGGCTCCGGAAGAAAAGACGACCAACACCATATCCAAACTTGACAACAACGGGAACAGAGACCGAATGAAACTGACTGATTTTAACTTCCTGATGGTGCTTGGGAAAGGAAGCTTTGGCAAGGTATGCTGTGGCATGGGGGTGGCTCCCACTCCAGAAGGACAGGTAACAAGGCAGGGACTTTTACTGTTCATATGGGGCCTACATTCCAGCGAGGGAGAGAGTAAAAAAGGAAATAGACACAACACTACACTTTGTAATGAAAACCATGAAGAAAAGGGACAGTGTGCTATGGTCCCCAAACAAATCAAGAGGGGACCCACTTAGACCATCAGAGGAGGTGAGCCCTGAGCTAGCTATCCATTCCAGGAGCTAGGAATTGAATGTTGCCAGCAGCGAGAATAGCAAGTGCAAAAGTCCTGGGGTAGAGAAGGGTTTGGTATCTTCTAGGGACCATCAGAGGGTGTTGGGGCCAAAATGTCACGAGCATGGCAAGGTAGCAGGATGTGAGATTACAGAAACGGGCAGGGGCTTGATCCTGCAAAGCCTTGTGAGCTGTGATGAAAAGTTTGGATTTTATCCACAGTGCAGTGGGGAGCCATTGAAAAATTTTAAGCAGAGAAGTGACACGATCCGATGTGCCTTTTGGAAAAGATCCCTTTTGCAGCCAGGAATGAAGCCATTCCTTTCAGACAGCAAGGGAGTTGAAGGATGACCCGGGGACTCGTAGAGTGGTTCTGGATGCTTTTATAATACTAGGAGACACTGTTTTACTGAAGTTGAGATTGTGGTGTAAGTATTCCTGAGTTGTTTAGTGTTGTTTTGAGTCTTTTAATCCCTTGGTGTACCACAAATATGTCTCATATAAATCTCATACCATGAACTCAAGGGTGCAGGAAATATAAATTTCTTCTCCATCTCTGTAGTCCAAGCCCCCAGTCTGGGACTTTATCTGGAGTTGTTCTTACCTGGCCCCTCCCCGCCACCCCCCCTCCAAGTTGTGTAAAACCCATTCACGAATCCTAACAGATCCTTTACCAAAGCAGGCCACGTGTTCACTGACTGCCCTCCATCATCACAAATGCAGCCCTAATCTAGGCTCCCCTGTGTACCCCTGGCCCCCCGCAGAATTTCCTAACTGGCTTCCCCGCTTTCCTTCTTGTACCTGTAATCAGTACACTTTCCATTTAGCAGCAATGAGTCATTTTGTCAAAGTTCCATTAGGTCAAGGCACTCCCCTGATTAAAACTCCCCAGCGACTTTCCATCCCATCCGAGTAAGTGTCATACTACGTTCTTGGCTTACATCGTTCTTTATAATCTTATCAGGTTCTCTGCCTGGTGACTTCTTTTTCTTGTCCCTGTCGCCCATAGTGCTCTGGCCACAGTGGTCCTTGGGTTTTTGAAACATACAAATCTCCTTCCTCTCTTAGAGCTTCTGTGATGCCATTCCTTTTATTCTTTGCACGTTGGGCTCCTCCTTGTACTTCCCCTCACAACCTAGATGATACCTCTTCTGAGAAGCCTTCCCTAACCACCTTCTCTGCCTCGCTTTCATTCCCCATTCTATTCTGCTCTCTTGTGGCAGCTGTTGTCAGATGATATCCTTTTTGATTATTGGTTTGTCTCTCTTCTAAGAACAGAGCATCGCAAGAGGAGGACCTCTGTCCTGTTCACCACTGTCCTTCCAGTGCCTGTGGGTTGAATCCATTTAGGGCCTGGACAGAAGGTGCGATTTTCTCTGTGGGTCATGTGGTCATCTGCTGAGATGGAATAAGGATTATGGATGGTGGTCCAGAATGTGCAGGGCTTGGGCATGAAACGGGAGTGACAGTAGGAAAACACAGCAAGATTACTGAGGAGCTTTCTAAAGTCAATGATGGAAGTGGTCCATGCCTCTGTGTGATTTTTGCCAGCACCTCTGAGCAGCTGGGTGTGGACATGGAGAAGTGGGTGGCAGGTTTGAGCTAAGGGAGTGATTAGCAGGATCAGCGAGCCAGAAGATTAAGAGGGAGTCAAGGATTCTGGGCAGAGAGATGCCTGTTGCAGACCCAATGGAATCTTTCAATGGGTGATCAGTAAAAGCATATTGGATAAATGAATAAAAATGGCAACTAGACCAGGCTGGAAAGGAAGTCAGAGCAGGAAGAGGGGCATAACCCCAGGTGGAAAAGAAGGAGTCTAGAAGCCTGGGGATGAAAAAGAACCAAACAGGTGAGGTCAAGAGATTTAAAGGGCTAGGAACACTAGGGGCATTTAGATTCCAAAGATGAGTGAGTTGCCTTGATGATAAGGACAGATGTGGCCTAAAGGAAGAAGGGGTTCTAATTATATGGGCCTGTTGGGAAGTTTGTAGAAATTAAATTATATTTTTGATAAGCGATGTATACATGTGGTTCATCATTAAAATTATATTGAAAGGATAAGCATTGAGATGTCTGCTCCCACCCAAGTCCACACCTTCTGTGCCCCCGCACTGCTCGTGCCCTCCAGAGGCAAATATTCTGTTCATTTAATTTGAATATTTCTGGTTCCCATGTGCTAAATGAACACATATAAATACGCATCTTTATTCTTGTCCTTGTTACTGCAAGGGTTCGCGTCCTCTACACAGAGCTCTGCCCCTTTCTGGTCACTTAACAATATAGGTTGGAAAGTTTTTGCTTGAGGAGTGGAAGTGCCAGAAGGCCTTACGGAAAGGATCAGGATTGGGTGGTGTGGGGGAGGGGGTGGAGAAGTGGGAGAATGGGTCATCCGGGAACAGTGAGGAAATGAGAGCAAATAGATCATATGTTTCCATGGAAACCGTTACAATAATTGAGATTTCTATTCCAGGCTGGGGATGTAGTCTCAAACAAATCACAGTGGAGAACAACAGTATGTCAGGAGAGCCAGACAGAATCACAAAAAACCTCGATGGTCCTTTAAAACAGAGCGTAATCCTTGGAACTCCAGTTGGATCAGATCTGGCCCCAAAACATGTGCCCTTAAGCATGGTCCTCATTTGTGGGGTGGCTAGGGAGTGACACGTGCCTTTTGCTGAGACCTGTGGGGATAAAACAAGGCAAAGCAGGTGTGAAGGCTGGTCGAGTTCCCAGCAAGTATGCCCCATTTCAAAAACCCTGAAACCAAGGACAGTCTAGAGAGTTTACTTGCCTGGAGAGGTGGGAGTGTTTACCTGGTAGGGTTATCTTGCTGGAGCAGGGCTCCTTGGCATGTCTGCCTTACGTGGAGATATCCATGATATACTCAAAGGAATGAGGTCTGTCTTTTCTCTGTCTGTCTGCCCGTCGGCCATCATGGAACGCTATGACACATTATCAGTTAGAACAGAAGTAAGTCCTAGAGCCTTATGATGAATAATATAAAATATAATGTACATAGAATAATGCTTTTCGTGTAATATACTCATGGTCCCTATTCTCATTGAATTTTCTCCCAATATTTTATCGTAAAAAAAAAAAGTCTTAAATACAGAAAAGTTGAAAGAATTATCTATTGAACATTCATAATACCACTGCCTAGATTCTACCATCAGAATCTGACTGGTTCTGTTTTATCACATATCTGTCCATGTATTCCTCAGTCTCTCTGTCAACCCACTTTTTGGAAAGATTTAATTAATTAATTAATTAGAGAGAGAGAGAGAGAACACAAGCATGAGCTAGCGGGGGGGAGGCAGAAAGAGGAGGAGGAGCAGACCCCCAGCTGAGTGGGGAGCCTGATGAGGGTGTTCGATCCCAGGACCCTGACATCATGGCCTGAGCTGAAGTCAGACTCTTTTTTTTTTTTTTAAGATTTTATTTATTTATTTGACAGAGAGAGATCACAAGTAGGCAGAGAGGCAGGCGGGGTTGGGGAAGCAGGCTCCCCGCTGAGCAGAGAGCCTGATGCGGGTCTCGATCCCAGGACCCTGAGATCATGACCTGAGCCGAAGGCAGAGGCTTAACCCACTGAGCCACCCAGGTGCCCCTGAAGTCAGACTCTTAACTGAGCCACTCAGGTCCTCCACTGTCAACCCATTTTTTTTTTTAAGATTTCATTTATTTATTTGATGGACAGCAAGAGCAGGAACATAAGCAAGGGGAGTGGGAGAGGGAGAAGCAGGCTTCCTGCTGAACAGGGAGCTTGACATGGGGCTCGATCCCAGAATCCTGGGATCATGACCTGAGCTGAAGCCATATGCTTAACAACTGAGCCACCCAGGCACCCCTCAGCCCATTTTTAATGCATTTCAAAGCAAGGTGCAGATACTGCTACACTTTATCCCAAAATGCTTCCGCATACATATCATTGAATTAGAATTCAGTATTTGTTTTTGGTAATTTTTAGGGTAAAATTTACATGCAACAAGATGTAGAAAGCAGTGTGCCATTCTGTGAGTTTTTGAAAAATGCATCCTTTAAAATGCAGAGGGGTCCAAACATTAGTCAGGAAATCACACTAATGGATGTAACATGGAACTGTGGTGTTTGATGTGTTCTGTGAGGGCCTGCGGGGGTGAGCTTGGCCCTGGTTGGACATCAGTGAGGGCTTCCAGGAGAAAGTGGCTCCTGGGCTCTATTGAAGGATGAGTCAAGTTAGCTTCGCAAAGTGGAGGTGGGGGAGTCAACGAAAATCTCAGATGGTCTCTTCCTGACCCCTTCCTCAAGCCAGGCTTAGTTGATCTGGGTGGTGGTCAGGGTGCCCACGCTCCTGTAATAGAGTAGATTCCCCTGCTGTGCAAAAGTAGATCCCCAAAGGTACACTCGGTTGGACACCATGGATGCTTCATTTTCATTCATGTGATAGTCTGAGATGGGTGTTCCTGACCTCACCCACTCTCTCCATATGGTGGCTAAGGAACCCAGGTTCCTTCCATCTTCTGTGACTCCATTAATCTCTACTGCCTGGTTTTGTCTACATTCCGAAGGTGGAGGGGGCGAAGTATGGAGGAAGTACAAGCTGCTTCTTAAAAGTCTTCTTTGGAAATGACACCCATCACTTCAGCCTACACTCTATTAGAATTTAATCACATGGCCATGTCTCCGTGCAAGGGAGGCTGGGAGAACAATTCTGGTGGAAAAGTTAGTAGCATTGACCATACTACCTACTTTTCGGCTCTGGATGGAATTTTTCTTGGGG